AATGCCTTGCTCCCAGGCCCGAAACTTCAACGTCTACTACTCGCACAAGTGGCGTAACTATGTACGTTGAGTATCCCCCTCTCCTTCGAAAAGGTATATGCTAACCTGGACCTCGATAGGGCATTTTCTGGGCCTACGTGATATTCAACTTCATGGCCGTGTTCTTCTTCTCGTGGCTTTACCTTCACGGCGCAAGGAACATCAAGAGAAGTATCAGTGCACGGAAGTCGAAGAAAGCTGTCAAGCAGTGATTGATTGTTTTGGTGTAATATATTATCATTCGACTCCTATATTATCTACTAATACTGCTTCATCTCTCCTCTCCCACACACACACACACACACACACACACAAGTTCAGCAGCACCAGTTACCCTACGAACCCAGTTGGTCATACTATTTCTTACTGAAAATTGTGTAATGTTATCACATGTACCCTTACTAATATATATCAGTCCGGTGTGACATAATGCTATAGTAATTTGCACATTAGATAACTACTCTCTGCCAAGATTATTTTTGTCTTTTTGCAATAGATGGAGAAAAGTGAACATGCAGCGGTGATGCCATTTTGGATATTTACATCCAGCAGAGAGTGTATGGTAGATCTCTCCCCCTCTCACTTTCTTTCTCCTCCCAAATCTTGTATGGAACATAAGGTTGTATTGTAACCCAATACCAATCTTCACGATAAATTGGAGCCCTTGGTAACTAGCTTGGTAGATCTCCAAGATCGTATGTAACAGCAGCACATTGATCGAATGAACACGCGCACACATGGCGGTACTCGCTCCTCTTTGTTCACGGGCTATACTCATACTCTGGAGCTGACTCCGAAGAATATTTTGATATGTCCAGTTGGACTCCAAAGACAGTCCTTACCCGGAGCAAGACGGCGGAGGCGTGGGACCTGCAGGGTTGGCCGGGTTTGAGGGTATACCGGACGGTTGGGCACTAGTGGTAGTCCAGGAAGTAGTGGAGGGAGGAGCGGGAGCAGGCCCCTGGTTTGTAGCCGTTGTCGTGGTAGCAGAAGTAGAGGAGGGAGTAGGGCCAGTAGGAGCAGGTGCGCCGTCAGGAGCGTGCGGAGGGTTCTCGATGTGGTGGCCGTTCATCAGGCGAGGCCGCTTTGCTTGCGGGCCCTCATCGGGACTCCGGGTGCTGTCATGTTGGTGCATATAGGGCGAGGTCTGCTGGCTTGGGGGCGCGGAAGGTCCACCACTTGTGTTTGAGGGGGAAGGGCCGGGGCTCAGTGCCGACGGAGGGTTCAACATCCTGGAGCGGGTTGGATCGTCGCTGGTGGTTGCGGGTGCGGTGGTAGTGGGTGGGTGTCTGGGTTCTGCGCTGCGATATTCATCCTGCATGCTGTTGGCATAGCCAATGCCGACGCGGCCCATGCCTCTGTCGTGCATGACGACTCGTTTCCATTTCGCGACAACATTGTCGTAGTCCCAGCGAGAGGCCGTAGGGCTGATTTGGCTCTCCTTGGAGTCGAGTTCTCGGGCGACGTCTCGTGGGAGCGGGAGCGTGTCCGGGGGGAAGATCGCGAATTCCCTGGGCCATTGGCAGGAGCCTAGTCTTTCTACCTGGGCACGAAGTTGGTTTGCCTCCTGTTGGACGCGCGCGAGCTGGTCATCTAGCGACTTTCGTTTTTCCATTTCCCTTGCGAATGCGCGCGTGATCTCAAGCTGCCATGCGTCTCTTCTTGCATCTGTCGGCAGTGAGGCCCAATGCTTGAATGCCAGCTCCAAGTGCCGCAGACTTAGGTCTTCGTGCTGCTGCGCGCTCCGGCTGATCATACTCGAATCTAGGCCCAGACTTGGTCTTCCGGACTGGGAGTTGTTGTTGGACTCGGCGGTGCGCTGATCCGACTGCCATTGATCGATCTTAGCACGAAGCGCTTGCCGGACAATATCCAGATGCTCCACTCCCGGGGGCTGCAGTGGGAATGATGATGGAGACGGAAACGGACTTGCTGCGAATAGACTAGGAGGCGGGGGCAGCAACTGCAGGCAGAGGGAAGGGAAGGTTTGCGCCTGAATATCGAAATCGAACGGGGAGAGTCTGGGACGCATTCTGGAACTATCAAGTATATAAAAATTAGCGTTCCAATCGCTCATAGACTACCAACGCTGTCGAATACAAGCGCATAGTTAGCAAATGCCAGGTGATGTACATACGTTGCAGCTTTGATATTATCCAGAACTTCGCGCAGAGCCAGCTCCAATGCCCTCATAGTATCCGGGTTGTTCGAGCCACCTCTATCCGGAAAAGGGAGCGGCCCAGTGCGTGATTGCGAGGGCGCAATGCGCGAATGAGACGAGCTAGTATCCTGTGACTGGCTAGGATTGGGTATATCATTGATCACACCGGTCGCATGCCACGTAGGCGTGTTGAACATCATCCTATACGCGCCATCGCGTGACTTTGACCCCGAATCGCCCGGAGTGTAGGAGTCCTGCTGGCCTTTTCCTGTTGTTCTCTCGGGAGTATCGCGTCTGCCAGACGAGGTACGGGCCTGTCGGCGAGTGATACCGCTCCGAATGCGCCGGATTTCCTCGACATCATGAATACCGTCTGGTTTCTTCTTGAAAAGGAACTGATCCAGATGGCGACCGAGGGACGAAGAGGTGAACGCTTGATGGCAATATTGGCACTTCCGATCCTTCAAGGCCGGGTTCTTCGCGGCACTCGAGGCGGCATTGTGATCATCACCGCCGGCAGAGCCTTCGGGGGTATCTGTCGGACGAGAAGACGCGCCTTCTTCCATGTTTCACGGGGACGCGGGGGGTCGAGCCAGGAAAAGAGAGGCGTAGCGAATATGGTAACACTTAAAGGGACGCGTTCAATGGAGAGGGTAGTAGAAAGAGCATTCACTGGGTTACTGCAGCTCAATGCATGACCCTAGAAGATTGGAGAAGCTGCGTCAATCAAGAGGGATGACACAGTGGTATGGTAGGGCGTCGGGGACGCAGTAAGAGCTGCAGATGGACAGGCAAGGAAGAAGGGGAGGGGGGAAAGAATTACACGAGGGAAAAGTGAGGAGAGGAACGTGACGATCGAGCAAGAACCGCCAAGCTTCGGTCTTGTGGGGATTAAGAGCCTCTGGTTCTCGCCCGCCGATTTGACAGATTCACTTTCCCGATTCTATATAGAGCTTTTTTGATAGAGAGAAAGAGAGAGAGAGAGCTTTGAGAGCTTGAGCATTGACTTGTTTGTAACATGTTTCAGGTGTATTCTGAAAATCCAAGATTTACTGTGTGGGGGTCTCTATCAGTATTCACTACCACAACTATGAGTCCGACCAACTTTCGATCTGTAGAGAATGTTGATCGTTCTTCCGCGGTTGGTGTATATTCTACGAAAAAGATGTAGGTAGTCTACGAAGAAGGGAGAGGTGGGATGTAGCATTGAAAAAGCAACAACAGACATTGGGACATGAAACACGATGCTCCAAAAGGCGTTGGACTAGTACCTAGTTTTGTGGTGGCTTGTATGACACATTTTACTCCTCCTTTCAACAAGTAATCCGATATGGTGTAGTGGCTAACATCGCCGTCTCTCACACGGCAGCCGGGGGTTCGATTCCCCCTATCGGAGCTCAACCGTTTCTTTTTTGTTTTCTATCTCTATAAATATTTGATACTGCCCTGACTACGTAGAAGAGTATCATAATGATGCATTCAATAACGTATTGCTCTGAGCTAATCTTTTTGCTTTTATAAACTAATAAGTAGTTTATAAACATATATTTGGCAATCTCCCCCTTCCCTAAACACTTAAATACCGACCACAAAGAACAATATCATAGCACAACTGCTTCACTGGGACGTAAATTGAAGTCGACCTGCTCAATAAATATATACTTCCGCCGAAAAGTTCCCAAAAGTTATAACCTCCATTTTCTCTTTCTCGCCAATATACACATGCACTTCCGACTGCCATATACTACACCCGAGCACAAACCCGAACCTAGGATCTGATATCGCCGAATAAAGCTGGCGTTTTACCCGACATCCAACCCCCGAAAACTACCGATGCCAACCATGCAAAATAATGCCCTACACTACAAAGTACTATCAATAAATTGAACAGATCCTCAACCCTGACCGCGCAGCATTTGTCATTAGCCCCTTCACCGCAACAGCATAACAATTGTTACTTGCTTTCAAGCGTACTACATCCCCCATCGTAACCGGCCACATTAACCACCCATGGCAAGCAACTCTTTCGTCACATCTACACAATGCATCCTATCTTGTCATCTGGCCATAGTAAAAGCGGCGAGGACAGATTTTTCGAACGAACATCTCCCCGCCTCGCTTGTCCCAGGGAACATGCTGAATACTTCGTGTTCGGCGATCAGTCATTGGCGGAGGAAGCGGGACATGGCTTGATTCCATCCTGTTGTAGTCTAGTAGGGAACAAGTTCCGGTTCCAACCCCGGGTTGGAATATAGTTTTGTCGTGGCAAAGCTAGTATGGATTAGATCGGCGGGCACATCGAGAGCTTATCGGGTATGGCGGAGATGTCATAATATGATGGATGTAATTAGTCGCCTCTAGATCCCCGAGTGTTTTCCGGCTGAGGTTTTCCTCCTGTTTGAAGTAGTGTATGAACTGAGTTAAGTTTTAAGGATATCACATTACACCTGTAAGATTTGCATGTTAATGTACAAGAAAAAATGAAAATACATCTCTGGAAGAACCGAAGATGAGTGCCGAGACGTCTCTTTTTTTGTTCGCCTCCGACAAAGCAGAAATACACAAGGATGCAAGGCTGTGCAATCCAAAATCGCCGGCAAAACCCTTTTTTTCTCAAAAACACATCTTTTAAGAGAAGGGATCGAAGCATGAATCGAAAACCTCTATACCATGCATCCTGAAATGATATGACCCAGCCAACACCAGAGAAGAGAGACACGAGGGAGGAATATAAATAATATGGCAATATTGCTGACAACGGCGGGGAAATCGTAGGTCTTAACGTGAAGCGATTGGTAAATTAAGCGACGGCCTTGTCGCCGGACGGAGGGGCAGGAGGAAGCTAAAGCAGTGGCAAGTCAGTACTCAATAAGCTTCAGCGATGAGGTGTAGCCTTTGCAGGTCGAGTGGCCACACGACATCAGAGACAAATGCGGGGGATGATCTCACCTCTAGTTTTGTGTTGTCGGCCATCATTCTCTGGAAACCGATACCGACACCCTCAATGACAGCCAGGAAGACAGCGCACATAATAGCGGAGTTTCTGGCAGCCTTGACACCACCACGAACGGCCAAAGCACCACCAGTGAAGAAACCAGCAATGACTGCAAAGTGGATCGTTAGATATGACTCCAAATTCCAAGGCGCATAGAAACATCGTAGCCATCCCTCACGGATAGACCGGGAAACATACTAGCATTGTAAGGATCCTCCTTCTTTCTGATACCCTTGATCGCACAGTCGAACGTCGAGAACATACCACCCCAAACACCGAAGTTACCACCGAGAACCGGCGCACGAGCCTTGATGGCTGTGATGGCACCTATCCGACGCTCTCCGTAGGGGCTGTTTCTGAAACCCTTCACACCGTGCCAGACAGCACCACCAATTGCCTATAGAGACAGAGTAAATTTAGCTTTTACCCTTTGGTGACAAGCACAATCGATTGGGAGAACCAGTGACGTACACCCATACAGAAAGCACCACCGAAGTCGCTAAGAGCAACCCAGGGGCAGGGATCTCTGGAGTGATCCATATCGAATATGAAGGAAGAAGAGAGGACCGGAGAAGAAGGAGGGAGGCGAGTGGAGTCGTAAGCTCGAAGACCTGCTGTACTGGTCGAACTGCACGGATCAAAGGAAGTGTAGGTCGAAAGAAGGTGACTCCAAGCTTATCCGGACGAGGGTCGGAACGCTGGGAATGAGATAATCGATAGTCGGGTGATGAGCCTCAAGGGGCAATCGGGATAGGATGGAGGAGTTGAGGTCGGAGTGACAAGCTGGATGCTGTCTTTAAAGAACAGAGTCTGGGGTCCGGGACGGAGAGGATGGCGGATCGCGACAGTAAGTTTTTGGCTTTTTTCGCCGGGAAACGTGACTTCGGACGGGGGTCGCAGTCACGTGCAGATAACCACCCGAAAAGTCCCATCCGGGCATCCAAACAGACCGCGCCCTGGTTTTCGTGGCTGTGGCAAGGACCTCTAGACGCCGGGATGACAATAGAAGAAAAACCAAGCAGGGATATGCAGGTTAAAGTTTTCCTGTGCTTTGTTTGGCGGAAGTGACGCCCCGTGCATTGAGAAAAAAAAAAAAAAGTGCTATTTTAATATCCAGAAGTGATCCCGCACTCCTTGATTTTGCTATTTACAAGAATGCTATGATGGCAGGTTCCAGATGAAGTTCAATGCCCCTCCTTCATATGCCGGAAATTGTCCACCAGTGCTGATACCGAAAGGTGCCATCGACGGATCAAACGGCAACGAGAGCCAGTCGTCGGCGGCGATGCCGCTCAATGATGGAATGAAGTTCATGTCTGTCACGTTCTGCGACACAGGGACGCCCATAATTGCGCCGTTGTCGCTTTCCATGCTGTGAGAAGGCGCCATTGAGGGCTGCGTAGTTGCTCTATGGTTATGCTTCACCGATTTGGAAGAAGCCAACAGGTTGCGTCTTAAACGCGATACGTGCATCTCTAGTAGAGCAGCATACCGAGAGCTTAAATGAATGTCATCGAGCGCATTAGACTTAAGCGCCTGCACGCTGCGATCGAGAATGTCCAGCGATTCACGGAGCTTTGCAGGCCGGGTCCCTAAACTAAGAGCCTTCATCAGGAAAATGGAGGAGCTAGTGACTCGAAGGAAGATTCGGACGGGGGAGAAACGCAGAGCCCCGGTTTCACCCAGTTGAGCCACTTTTTGTAGTATTTGACAGCAGCCTTCAATAACCTCTTGGATATACTCATAGTCGATCGGATCAATATTGGTGGCCCGGACGTCTTCCGCATTTGGTTCACTGTCTGCAACGGCACGTTCAACAACTGCCTGCATCCCTACTGAATGGGTATAGACGCGGACAAAATGATACTCAATGAATAGAATATCGAAAAAGTGTTTGCTAAGAACTGGAAGAAGTTAACATCATCGACAATAGTAAGACGAAAGACCGCTTAATCTCAAGAGACGATGCCTACCTTGTGGCCGGAGATGATCATCTTTCCACCTGACAAGTAGCGTACGGAAGTGATCCAACAAGTCGATGTACCTTCCACTATGGAACTGCTGTCGCGCAAACGATACGGAAGGAAAGAACGTATCAGTAACAGATTTCGCCAGCTTTGTAAGATCCATCCAGGAATCCATAAATGCTAGCCACTCGTCTCCCGGTTGGCTCAAAGCCCTGCTGATTTGTCGACCTGCAATAGCATGGCTTAGGCTCTGTGGCATAAGTGATACACAACCTATTCGCCAGGCTAGCTGGTTGATATATACGTATAGAAGCCGTTGTACGCGCTGCCTGCGGAGTTTGATCTGGTCATCAGATATAGACCCTTCATATACGGAAGTGTAGTCGCATTTCTTGTCATCCAGCTCGAAGATGCCAAGCTCATGCGCAAGCGATAAAGCAGAGCCAAGCAACATCCATGACATTTGATCTGATCTCTTGGCTGGCTCGATCATATCCTCGAGCCACCTGTCGGCCGATGAACCTTCCGATTCTTGGTGCTCTGGGGCCAGCACCAAGTCGGAATCCCATCCATCGCTCTCGGGTGGAAAGTGGAGAGACCTAGGGTGCCATTCTGACATCAGTAAGAGAGCCTCGATCGTGCCTATGCTCCTTATCCGAGTGTGAGACGACTTCTCCTGGCCAAAGATTAGCCGCACCACCAGCTGCTGGCAATGCTGCCAGAGTCGGTGGTGAATGAAGAAGTTTCTGGACTCGCCGCCAGCCCCTGGCAATACATGGTATCGTGATGAAAGCATCAAGATTGTACAGCACAAGACAGGGTCCCGTGTCACGAGCCAATGGTGATTATTGTGGTCCGCATAAAAGTTTGTTAAGATCGGGGATAGCGGTGTCATATTCTTGAAAAACCTGGCATTGTAAGTAATTTTCAAATGCGCGTCTACATATCTGCACTAACTGATCAATTAACGTGACTGCTTCTCTTGAAGTGAACCACCCCATCTTGACAAAGCGACAAGTCTCCCAAACACCGAGAACCTCTTTCGAGACAGGGGAAAGTTTGACTGGACGCTTTGCCTTGGCTATAGCCTCAGCAGCAAACATAGTCTGCGCATGATCACCGGAGTGGTCTACGTCGCTGGCTTGTGCCGTTGAAGTCTGTGTATTTCGTGATTGTGTCTCGGATCTATTGGAGCTGTTTTCTTGGCTGTGAACTGCTGCTGCTTCGAAGAGAATATTAAGCGCATCGTTTCCACTTGAGACCACGGTACGCATCATGGAATTTGCCAAGGTAGACGTGGAGTGATGACGGTCACGGCGTCTCTCGGAACTGTATGGCTGCTGCGGGCTGTTATAGCTATTCCCGCGTTTGCCATTATCACGAACCGGGCTGTCATCAACCACCTGAAGTACATCGTCCGGGATGTCTCTGCTACGTCTGGGAGTGGCTGATAGCCTTCGGCGTATAATTGAAGGTGGCGTGACGCCTTCTTCAGACGGTCCTACTCGGTGTCAATCATCTTGATAGTAATGCCGGAAGGGGTTGGCATCGCGCACCTCGTTTGTTTGTCCTCTCCCACGCCCTCTTCTCGCTAAACACACACTCCCTCTGTTCTCTACGACATTTCGCACAGGGCGGTCCTAATGGGAGACCTTCCGAGTCTGTTCCCAGATCGCATTTTGCCTTTCTCTGACGACAGGAGAGACAGGCCTTGTAGGTCCGCTGGTATGCCCGGTTCAAGGCGTCTCCGCTGCGGGACGGCCCCCTAACTTCCATTACTGAACGCGTAGCGGCCCGGCCAATAGCATTTTCGTGATAAGATTGAGGTTGCAATAAAGAGACCCGGATATTTGGCTGGCTAGAAAAGGGCTAGATTAGGCGGGTATCAAAGGTTCGCTGGGAGCGGATATTGCAGGTGGGAAGGGGAAAAAGGGGGGTGCAGACTGGTGGGGAGCCGCAAAATACCCGCCGATTGCCGCGGGCGGAGGCCTGAAAATACCCGAGCCCTTTCACCAAGCCGGGCAAAGGACAGAGATATGACAGCTGACCTCGTATACTCCTCCGTAGATACGGCCCATTGGACAGCCAGCCAAACACAGCTGGAATTCCAATCTCACTATCAAGATCGAAATGGTGTCAAAGATGGTCGGTATTTGCTGCTCATGGTGTCATCGAGAATTGCTACGGCGAGGTCCGTATACGCTGCATGTTATGTCATCGTCTGCACAAACCAGCACCATCTTGGTTATCAGACTTTATGCTGAATGCGACGCTGTATGCCAGGGGTATGCCAAACCTAACCGTTTTGGCTCTCTGGGATCCAGATTTTAGCTCTTGTCTAGAACAGATCCTCGAACCAGGCAAACATGACTGCCGTGACGTCAACTAAGCCCAAGAAACGAGCAGCTCGAACTCGGGACCCGGCAGCGCCCCCACTCCTTCATTCACAAAAAGAGGATTCTGTGTGAAAATCCGATTTACACTATAATGCCCATGAATATCCTTGTCCAACCCGGCTGTCTGGACAAAGTGACTCCTCGGGAAGACGCGGCAACCCACGCGCGTAGCTCCCAGCCCGGGCCTCCATCCCTACGGAACGCTTCCGCAGTATACGACTAGCAGATGCATATGATTCCAACTACCACCACGAATATAATGGATACAGGCAATATCCCCCAAAGTAACACGGATATATTGTGTAAAAGAATGATCACACGCAGGTACTGTACTACACACACCCCGCAGCGGTCCAAGCCCTCCGCACCTCCGCTGCAACCTAATACGTACATAGAATGGTAGCTGTAACCCATATAATCCACATACTAGCCTACTAGCTGCTACAACTACTGCTACTTGCTATACGCTACAAGCCTACAAAGCTACAAGCCTAAAACTACATTCTACATAGCCTACCCATCTACATCTCTACAAAACCAAAATGCCCGAACAAACCATAACCCTCCACACCTACTTCCGCTCCTCCTGCTCCGCGCGCCTCCGCATCGCCCTCAACCTAAAATCCATCCCTTACACCTCCATCCCCATCAACCTACTCAAAAACGAGCATCACAATACCCAAAACACATCCCTAAACCCCTCCGCCAGCGTTCCCACCCTCATCATCGAGAACCCCGAACACACAAACGATGGAAAAACAATCATAATCCCCCAGTCCCTCGCGGCGCTGGAATACCTCGAAGAAACCCACCCAACAGCACACCCCCTCCTCCCACCCACTTCCGACACCACCGCGCGCGCAACAGTCCGTACCCTAGCTAACATCATCGCCTGCGACGTGCAGCCGGTCACGAACATGCGGATCCTGAAGCGGGTAGCGCCGCTCGGCGTGGACAGGGAGACATGGTCGAAGGAGTTAGTAGAGGATGGGTTCCGGGCGTACGAAGCTATTGCGGAGAAAACGGCGGGGAGGTATAGTGTTGGGGATGAGATTACCTTGGCGGATGTGTGTCTTTTGCCTGCTGTTTGGGGGGCGGAGAGAGTGGGTGTGGATTTGGGGAACTTTCCGGTTATTAAGGGGGTGAGGGAGAGGTTAGAGGAGGTGGAGGCTGTTAGGAGGGCGCATTGGAGGTGTCAGGATGATACGCCGGAGGAGTTTAGGGTTGGTGATAAGCAGTGAGATAGGGAGAGGTTTGGTTTGGAGGGGTGGGCTAGATAAGTGTGTTTTGGGATTGAAGTGGTGGGTTTCATAGTTTTTCTTTCTCTTTTTCTTATCTATGTAGGTTTGGACTGACTTTAAGTATATGTTCGGGTTTGGTGGGTCTGGATCTGGATGTTACGTCTACAGTTTGAATTGGCTCCGTGGCTCCGCGGACTATTAGGGAAGAACGGTCTGGACCAGGATTTCTTATCTCTTTTGAGTGTAATTTTGTCATTGTTGGGTTCACATTCACATCATATCAGTATCGAGGAATATAATAGGCAATGGGACTCATGACGTGCGATCGTGCGATAAGGGACTAGGACTTGCTAATTGCAATCTAGAATTCCAGCTTCACCGCGGGGAGAATGGTGGCACTGCAGTCGCCAAATCCGACGTAGTTGCCCTCTGTGCCCGCCTTGCCTCTGAGGACGACGGTGTCTCCGTCTTCGAGGAATATCCGCTCCGAGCCATCGGCCAGCTTGAGAGGCTCCTTGCCCTTGGTTTGCTCGAACAAGCTGCCCTGTGTCTGGGGCTCCGTGCCGGAGATGGTTCCACTACCGAGCAAGTCACCGGGCCGGAGGTTGCATCCTGTGATGGTGTGGTGGGCCAGCATCTGAGGGAAGGAGAACAAAAGGTTCTTGGCGTTGCTTCGCGAGACAGTGGTAGGCTGGCCACCTTGGTTGGTGATCTCGAATTCGAGGGGAATGTCGAAGACGTTGTCGGTGCGCTTCTCGCGCAGGTAAGGCAGGACGTTTTCACGGTTTTCGGGCTCCAGGCTGGGAACCCGGAAGGGTTCTAGAGCATCGATCAGGACAACCCAGGGGGTGATGGTGGTCGCAAAGTTCTTGGCGTTGAACGGTCCCAGAGGAACGTATTCCCAGGCCTGGATGTCACGAGCGGACCAGTCGTTCATGAGCACCAAGCCGAAGATGTGGTCTTCAGCGTTGTTGACAGAGACGGGCTTGCCCATATCATTAGGAGTGCTGACAAAAGCAGCCATCTCTAGTTCAATGTCGAGTCTCTTGCAAGGAGAGAAGGTAGGGACTTTGGGAGTTGCGGTAGGGTTGGCCAGGATCTGACCGTTGGGACGGTGAATGGGGGTGCCTGAGACCACGATGGACGAGGCGCGACCGTGGTATGCGACTGGCAGGTGCTTATAGTTGGGCTGCAGAGCATTGTCTGGTCCACGAAGCAAGACACCCAGGTTGTAGGCGTGGTTGAGGCCGGCATAGAAGTCTGTGTAGTCTCCGATTTGCATGGGAAGATGGTTGGTCACCTCCGATAGCGGCAGGAGGGCCAACTTTTGGAGGGAGTCATTGTCTTTCAAGACCTGAGGGAAAGGAGTATCTGCGCGAAAAACGGACTGAATGTATTCGCGGACTTGACGGTGAACTGGACGGCCCAGGGCTGCAAAGGCATTGAGGGTGGGTTGGTTGAACACGTTCAAATGGGGCTGGATCGCGGGCAGCTGGGAGAAGCCACCGGATGAAGCAAAGGCGTTCAGGTTCAGCGCATAGTCACCGATGGCAATAGCTGCTACGCGCGAGGGAGCTTTCGCAGAGGTGATGATACCGAATGGAATGTTCGCCAACGAAAATGGCGAGTTCTTGGGGATCTGCAGCCAGGAAGCCATGATGAGGAGGGAGGCGGTTAAGGACGGGAGAAATGATGAAAAGAAGGGAAATGCAAGTAGTCAGTAGCTATCCAGCAGCAACACCGAAACAACTGCGATGCCGATGTTAAAAACGAATCCTGTGACAACTACCCCTCGAGGGGTTCCGATGGAGGAGAGGAGGGCAGCGGAATGGACTCCGCGCCCGCTTATTGCCGGCCGGCGCGGGCAGTTCAGCTTCCCCGCCGGCCCCAATTCCGCACCCCCGCAGATCCCCGGTTTTCTTGATTTGCTCCAGGAACACCGAATCCCGCGAATCTCCTGGAAATTGAATGGCTTTTGGTGGCCTTGCCGATGGCGCATTCCAATCCCGTGCTGCCCCTCGCCACCCATGCACATGACCAGGGGAGAGCGTGCGAGTTGTACAAGCTAATCCACTCTTATATAACCTCCTTGGCTCAGGAACGCTTTGTGTAGTGAAGCAGTCATAGAGACTGAACCACTGAACCGCTACCCACCATGCCCGTCACTAACTTCAAACACGCTGATCCATATTCCTACCAGAACGGCTTTGACTCGTACCATGAGTGAGTGCTAGGAAGCAGGGGTCTCTGGGTGGCGCTTGTCGATGTCAAGTCTGACTGATATCTACTACTAGGTCGGAGGCTGTCAAGGGAGCTCTGCCTATAGGACAGAACTCGCCACAGAAGGTGCCGTATGGGCTCTATGCCGAGAAGCTCTCGGGGACAGCTTTTACTGCCCCTAGACATGAGAACAGACAGACTTGGGTGTACCGAATCCTCCCCGCGGCTGCTCACCAGAATTTTGTGGCCGAAGATGGCGACTCATACCACACCCACATGACCACCGAAACACAGAAGCTTCACCACATTCCAAACCAGCTTCGGTGGGATCCCTTCGACTTGGATGAGACTGTGGACTGGGTCCACGGTCTTCACCTTGTTGCTGGTGCCGGTGATCCAACTCTCAAACATGGCCTGGGCATAATTCTATACGCTGCGGGCAAAGACATGGGGAAGGAAGCCTTCTACTCTGCCGACGGCGACTTTTTGATCGTGCCGCAGCACGGTGTCCTAGATATCCAGACTGAATTGGGACGCCTCCTGGTTCGGCCCAATGAGATCTGCGTGATTCCTCGTGGTGTGAGGTGAGAACGGAGACTTACATGTCAGTTTTGAAGAAGAACTTTGACTAATGCTCTACAGATACCGCGTGACTCTTCCGGCAGGACCGGTGAGGGGATACATCTGTGAGCTCTATCAGGGCCACTACCAGCTTCCTGAATTGGGACCCATCGGATCCAATTGCCTTGCCAACGCGCGAGACTTCCAAGCGCCGGTTGCCTACTTTGAAGACGAGGAAGAGCCATCCGAATTCCGTCTGTACAGCAAGTTCAACAATACGCTCTTCTCCGCCCGTCAGAACCACACCCCATTCGACATTGTTGCTTGGCACGGAAACTACTACCCTTACAAGTACGATTTGGGCCGTTTCAACACGATCGGTTCTATCTCTTTCGACCACCCGGACCCGTCCATCTTCACCGTCCTCACTGGCCCGTCCGACCACAACGGCACTGCCATTGCCGATTTTGTTATCTTCCCGCCCCGCTGGCTGGTGGCGGAGAACACATTCCGCCCGCCATGGTATCACCGCAACACCATGTCTGAATTTATGGGTTTGATCTGCGGTGCTTATGATGCCAAGACTGGTGGAGGCTTTCAACCGGCGGGCGCCAGTTTGCACAATGTGATGAGCGCCCACGGTCCGGACAAGGACGCCTTTGAAGGTGCTAGCAATGCTGATTTGAAGCCGCAAAAGGTCGGCGACGGCAGCATGGCCTTTATGTTTGAGAGGTAAGCAAACTTGTAGTTCAAGTCAACATCAGCTAATTCCTTAATAGCTGTCTCATGGTCGGCGTGTCTGAATGGGGCCTGAAGACCTGTCAGAAAGTGCAAGAACAATACAACGCACACAGCTGGCAACCGCTGCAGAGGCATTTCCGGAACCCGAACAATTCCGTGGACACAATGTGCAAGGACGACCATTAAGCACTGATTCGACGAAGTTACGAAAAGCGAAGGCATTTTTCAGATACCAGTGTAGTAGTAGTATTCAGTCATAGCCGAATGGAGAGTTTAAAACATCTATCCGCGTTCATCTGGGTATGTGAGACAAAATTGACAAATTGTAAGACACGACTGTAACAAGCATCCAAAACGAAACTGCACACCACCAAAGCACCCAAATCAGCTAATCTGAGCAAATAAATCAAATCTTCACCACATCATCACCCACAACCTCCTTCCTCAAAGCCTCCTTCACAATCGCCCCACACATCTTCGCATACGGATTCGTCTGCACTGCCAACTGCTGTGCAACCTTATTTCCATACCTGCCCCCAAAGAAGAAATCGCGACTAGCCATATCCTCCAACTGCTCCGGCTCCACGGCACGCAACTGCTCCGGGCCACCAATGATTTCTCCCTCCTTCCTCTCCTTCTTCACTCTCGCCGCTTTAAGTAGCAAATACCCGCGATGCGTATGCGCATCCGCCAACAAGCGCGCCTGGACCGTCGACACCGGATCAGCAGGCGACCGAGGCGTCGCTAGCGTAATGGCGTTCCCTAGGTCTGCTAGTAATGTGGATGCGGGCTCTGTGTTTTCGGGAGCAAAGATCTTGTCGTCGTCCTTGTCTTGACCGCTGCTCTCAGTGGTAGTATTGGTCTTGTCAATTAGAATACGGAGAGTTTGAGCGCGGTTGACGTATGCGGATGGGTAAGTCGGATGTTGGGCGATAAGGGTATCGAGATCCTTAATCGCTTGTTGGATGGTTGAGATGTCCAAGGTGGTTTCGGATTGTAGGGTACGGATTATAGAGACCTCGCGAGATTGCAGGGTCTGGAGGAGTTCTGGGGTGATGTTGAGGTGGGCTGGATAGGCGGGGAGAGAAGAATTAATGGTGATAGAGTTGGAGGGGGAGGATTCAGCGTCGAAAAGAGCTTGGAGAACGGCGGAGTCGTTGGTGGTAAGGTTGGGTTTAGCCGTTGGGTTTGGGGTCATTTTGCTTATCGCCTTCGCGGGACTTTGGAATATTGAGTTATCTGTAGTTTTGGAATGTATATTGAGGTAAAGGGGATGTAGCTGATAATAAGGTATTGTTCGTAGTGAGGATGCTTGCTATCGGTGACACCGAAAATGGTGAACAATCGTTGGTATTTGAGTTAACCTACGCTCACCGATAGTCCGCGGAGCCATGTGGACGGAGCTTATCAAAGCCTATCTTATAACTAGATCCAAAACCAGGGACCGTGGCAATCACCGCATGCATCGGAGTGGATGTTCTCATGATGTAAACGAGGCAGCGGATGTTCCGTGGGAGTCGAAATACCCGCCGACAGCCGGGCTTCTCCGGGGTCAACCGACGACATCCGGCCCGGCTGGTTTACTATCCTGGCGTCCTGTAAGCTGCTACTGCTTGCTTATCCTCTACTCTTTCCCAAAACAATGTAATTATGATTCATGGCCGATTCACTGAGTTTGTCTTCTGGAAACGGACCCTCCCGATAACTATTGACTGTGTCAGGAGGCCCGCCCTCATCCGGACTTATAAAGATGGTCCCGGGACCCCTTTCACCTCTCTGGAAGTAGACCCTAAGTAGCCAGGCGCATTCCTCTTCATGATACATAATATTTCCCTTTGATACCTCTCTTCTATACCCAAGTATTATAGAATCTCTTTGCTGTTCTTCATACAACATACACTCCCATCACCATGGCACCCAGCGCAATCTCCTCTCCTCCCTCCCCCCAACCAGCTACCGCTACCACCTCCGATATCTCCAGCTATAAGGGGTATGACCACGTCCACTGGTACGTCGGCAACGCCAAAGTCACCGCTTCATATTATGTCACACGCATGGGCTTCAAGCGGGTTGCATATCGCGGCCTCGAAACCGGCAGCCGTGCCATCTGCTCTCACGTCGTCCGCAACGGCGACATCACCTTCGTCCTGACCTCTCCTCTCCGCTCCCTCGACCAAATGGAACTCCTCACTCCTGAAGAGCAGAAGCAGCTCCGCGAGATCCACGAGCACCTCGAACAGCACGGTGACGGCGTCAAGGACGTCTCCTTCGAAGTTGACTCCGTCGACGCAGTATATCAAGCCGCAGTGGCCAACGGTGCCAAGATTGTGTCTGCGCCACGCAGCCTCGAAGATAAGGACGGGTACGTTCGGGTTGCAACTATCCAGACGTATGGAGAGACTACCCACACCCTTCTGGAGCGCAAGTCATATTCTGGCGCGTTTCTGCCCGGGTATCGTGTTGAGGATGGGCCCGAGGACCCTATCACCAAGTATTTGCCCGGTGTATATTTGAACCGTGTCGACCACTGCGTCGGTAACCAAGACTGGGATGAGATGGACCGTGTCTGCCAATAGTATGTTAACAACCTATTCTTTCACGAGAGGGCGTGCTGACCATTACGCAACAGTTACGAGAAGGCCCTTGGCTTCCACCGTTTCTGGTCTGTCGACGACAAGGACATCTGCACGTGAGTGACCCCATACTATCCACATACTTTTCCTCTGAAACAGTAAACTCATAAGATGACAGTGAATACTCTGCACTCAAGTCCATCGTCATGGCCTCTCCTAACGAAGTCGTCAAGATGCCCATCAACGAGCCCGCCGTCGGCAAGAAGAAGTCCCAGATCGAGGAATATGTGGACTACTACAACGGCGCCGGTGTGCAGCACATTGCACTCCTGACCGACGACATCATCCGGGACATCACCAACCTCAAGGCACGCGGAGTCGAATTCATCAAGGTCCCCGATACGTATTACGAGGACATCAAGATCCGTCTCAAGAAGACGGGCTTGGTCCTTCACGAGGACTTTGAAACCATCCGCAACCTTGACATTCTCATCGATTTCGACGAGGGCGGGTATTTGCTCCAGCTTTTCACCAAGGTATGTGCACCGTTTTCCCACTTGAATAATCTACACAATATACTAATGAATTGATATAGCACCTAATGGACCGCCCAACCGTCTTCATCGAAATCATCCAACGCCACAACTTCAGCGGCTTCGGTGCCGGCAACTTCAAGTCGCTGTTTGAGGCACTTGAGAGGGAACAGGCTCTGCGTGGTAACCTCGTCTGATTCTTTTTATTTTAATTCTTAGTACAAGAACTGCAAGACAGTTATTTGAAGGGGATGGTGTACAATTCGGCCAGGTTGCCAAGTACATTGATTGTTAGTTTTTATATTTTCCATGTTCTTTGTTCTTTGGATTTACTAGTACTAGTACTGTACTGGATTGGACTGGACTAGTTGAAACCAAACAACAGACAATACTTCAGGTAAAGAACGATTCGGGATACTGTGTAACCAATCCGTTATTTATCGAGTCTTTGATTTATTCTATCAATTAATGGGATAATTCGATTGATATGAAGTATATGACGATAGCATCTATATAATACATAGTACCTGCAGTGAAAGACACATACAATATGTTCGGCAAGTGTGAAGATTGTGGAATCCTCAACTGTATGCATATGTGCCCTCGCAAATCGTTATATAGCCCACCCATAAGAAGACTAACCCAGGAGTATTCTAAGTAGTGATTATTACCCCTCTTCTAGGCAAAAAAAGTTGTATTCTTCAACAAGAATCCGATATGGTGTAGTGGCTAACATCGCCGTCTCTCACACGGCAGCCGGGGGTTCGATTCCCCCTATCGGAGCTTGATCATTTCTTTTTTGTTTTTCTTTTCTCTCCTCATGCCAGTAGCTTCTAGCTAAAGTACAGTAGTGGCTTATTCATTTCTTTGATTTGTTTTTCTTTTTGGCTTGGTTGAAGTAGTCGCTGTTTAGTTCGTATGAGAACACAGATATCAAAGACCGGGATAGGTTGTCATTGAGACTCACTTCCAGGGCTCCTTTGCCAGATTCGTGGGTTATCTGTCTATCCGTCTATCTATCTTATCAGATCGTTGACGGCTGTTTGTATGACAATTATGGGTTGTCAGCAGGCGATATTGTCTGGTCTACTATGGTAAAGCTAAGTTGGGACAAGTGTCGGTCTCTTGGTGATATTATGAGGTATTTGTGCAAAAGTCTACACTTCATCCTCCTTGTATAGGTTCTCTACAAAGGATATATGCATTTTCCATGTGGGAATATATTTTCATTCATCGTGTCGCTAGTCTACTACTTCTTCGAGGAACTGGCACCGCCTGGTGTTGTTCCCCCACGACGCTTGTATTTACGTGGATCTACATCAATTGTCAGTCACCCATAAAATAAGAAACAAACAATCATAGGAGATTGTACGTACCCTTCCGACTCATGAGTACTCTGTTTCTCGTTCCTTTTCCGCCCTCCCAGAATCCGCTACCGGCTTTGCCAATCAGCACTGCCCGGCATATTCCGCAATTTTCGGGCCGGTAGATTTGCTCTCGTGAGCAAAAGCCGCTGTAGTCGTTAGGATCGCTTTGTAGACTAGGTCAGGATTGAGGGCACATACCAAATCATACGGTTAGCATGCTCATTGGGATGGTCTGTAGCGGCATCGTGGCATCTGCTTATATTAGCTTTGACATGGGAAGATAGCATGATGTGCTCGTACTTATCACAAGGGAAGACCTTCGCACAGCAGCTGAATCTATTTTATTGTTAGATAATATCAATGAAGCACCTGAATGACGGGTATTACCTGAACCACCGATAACTCTTGCCGTAGTGCGTACAGCGGCCACGACGAGGCAATTCTTGACCAGCAACGATGCCGAGAACTTCCTTGGGCTGTCGATAACGATTAGCATAATTCAAATTCAGAGGAAAGATATCATTGTAGCGGATTACCTTCTTCCGTGGAGGCTCGCGGAAACGAGATGAATCTGTCCGATAGCTGTCAGCATTCTGTCAACATTCATCTTATGGGGGACTCACATGCTGCCGACCCCACTTTCAGAAACTTGACTTCGGGAATTTTCATGACTGTAGTTGTAAGCGGTTGGTCTGTGTTTACGCGATCCAACACATACCCATTTTGCGGTGACATTGTCGGCAATTCGCCATGGCACTTTCGCCTCGAACTGCGACAACACCAGGCGCGGGAAACGCTGTTGAGCATTCCGCACAGGTCGGGATAAAGCTACTGCGGAGATTGTCAGCGTTTTTGATGCGCAATGTGTAAGCTGTCATCCGATCCAACTTACCTAGGCAGAAGATCCACGACTGTGCACCCATCCAAGTCAAGATAGCCCGCACGAGTGGCGCTAGGATGCATAAGCTGTCGACGGAACCCTGGAGGCATGTTAACTTCCAATGATTCATACACTATATTGACGACATGTGGTGTACCTACCAAGACTCATGGTATTTGCGCATTTCTTGCAACTCTCGATCTTGGGAGACAACTCATCACTCTTGTCCCTGATCTGTGGAATATTTCTGACATCCAATTGCTCTTTGCATCGATCGCACTTTATGGTGATGTAGAGACCTACAAGCTCCAAAAGCTCGATTCCGTAGAGCTCCAGAAAAGGGAAAGAGAGGGCGACACCACGCTCGGTCGTCGTAGGCTCCGGAAGATCTGGAACGGGAGCCCCGCCTTCTTCCTCATCGTCGTCAGAAAACTCATCCTCAGACGGAGTCATCTCTGAGTCGTCAGTGTCACTACCGTTATCACCCACAGCCCATTCAGGAGGGCGGGGCACAACGTGAACGTGTGGTTTATCTTCCAATGTCACTCCTTCTGCTTGAGATGGAGGCTCGCTGGGTACTATATCATCAGATACCACAGGCAAAGGAGCTGGTTCAGGGGCTTTCAGCGGTGTTTTGGCGAATTTATGCATATTGCTGGTCAAGTAGTTCACTTGCGACACGAGAGTCAACTGTTTGTTCCCTTCAAGCCACTGCGAGAAGCCAGCTTCCACAGCACGCCCTTCTGGGCTATCAATGCCCTGCAAATGAACAGTGCTCGGTTCAAGAGGATACAGGCTAGGCACTAGGAGCTTCACTGTCTTGACGGAGCGAACAGAAATAGGCAGACGATCTAGCTTAGTCGGTTGGATTGGAATAACGAACGACAGACCATCGCTGGACTTTTGAAAAAGAGGCAGCCTTCCCAGACGAGCGTCAAGTTGCTTCGTCTCAACTGTTCTTCTTTTCTCCGCCTGGGCCTTCTCTTCCGCGGTGTATACGGGTCTCGGAGGCTGAGGGCTCGCTGCTTCAACCTGAGTCGAGTTGGCCTTCTTCCCAGAAGACACAGCTAGAGAACTCATCTTTGACACTAGCTTTTGCTCCTCTGGCTTCCCTTTGCCGCCCACGTTAGGCACGAACTTCAACGTAGGCCCCCGTTCCGTAGTAGTGAGCAAACGCTCCAAATGCCGATCGAGACTGTTCATCCAGCTGAGCAAAGTCCCACGACTACCACTTCTGATAGTGCTATCGACTATATCATCGAATCCTCTCGAGATATTTTCCTGAAACGCACTGCCCATTTCAGGATTGGTGACTTTGATAGACGGCCGTCCTTGCGCCGGAAATGTCCCGGGAACATGCAAGATACACTGAAGCTTGTCCATATCAAACGGAAAGTCAGGATCCGAAGGAGCCAAGCCGAAACTCAACGTCGTTCCATCGTCATTGCTGGTTTCTGTCGGATGGAACCGTCTTCTGAGCTGGTTGAGCTGGAACTCTCGCGGGTTCGAGGCTTCTGCTTTGGACACTGGTCGTTGACCGGCAGCAGAGCTAGCACCCGCAGAGCTCCCTGTTTGTGCGTTGCTCATGTTGGAATGCCTTGAATTGAGCTGCTGTAGGATTAAATGAATAGACTGGTGAACTACATGGCAAGAAACAGGTATCGGAGCGGATGTATATTTGCGGGCGGCGGGTGGAGCTCACGGGACAGCTAGTCCCAAAAGAGTAAGGCAGGCGAATGACTGTCTGGATTGGCATCTTTGAGTCAAAAGCTGGTCGCCATCATCATGACTCATCTTGAGTCGTGATGTCTATACTCCAGTTGACTGTTTGTTTCAAAGTGAACCGAGCAGAAAGCTCTCGAAAGCTAGGGCATCCACAGTTGAAGCCATATAGTGGCGATGCTGACGATAAAAGGGGTCAGTTTTGGAGACCCGGTCCAGGCAAAAAGAAATGGTCCAATGATGTGCGGGCGTATCCAATACGATGGCAGCGATTGCCCCCAATCCACTAAATGCTCCAGACACAGCTGTGAGTGGCCAGAGTGACTGTCAACATCACTGGAGCCTTGCATGGTTCGACACTTTATCCAAAGGATCTCCAAGTGGTCTGATCCGGCTCAGGAACCACCGTGAGCAATGCCTCCTTCCGTTGCTAACAGTGTTTGCGAATCATTGCAGTGGATGGACCGATGTAGCTCAGTGCCAGGGGTAAGATCTTGGGAGGGATATCTAATAGGTCGTGGCGCCTAAGGCTGTTTGTGTTAATCTTCAGACAGTCATGAGCCGACAACGACATACTCCTTCGATGTCTTGCTCCTGACTTTCTCCTTTACAAACACCTTCCCCATCAATTGGTCCTTTTTCCTGCCTACGGTCGCTTCCAGGATGGCATATCTTGCTGTTGCAGGCGCCTACGCTTTCGCAGCGTTGCTCGTTGCGATAGTCTTGAATGTCGCGCGCCAATTGCTCGTTCGCAACGAGAAAGAACCACCCGTTGTCTTCCATTGGATTCCCTTCCTGGGAAGCACAATCAGCTATGGGATGGATCCCTATGCATTCTTCTTCTCCTGCAGGAAAAAGGTCAGCCACTGTCCATATGCGATTGCCAATGAATACTAACCAAAGCGGTTGAATAGTACGGAGACATCTTCACCTTCGTGCTCCTGGGCAAAAAGACAACCGTATACTTGGGCGTTCAAGGCAACGATTTCATCCTCAATGGCAAACTCAAGGACGTGAGCGCGGAAGAGGTCTACAGCCCTCTCACCACCCCGGTGTTCGGGTCCGACGTTGTGTACGACTGCCCTAACTCCAAGCTGATGGAACAAAAGAAATTCATCAAGTTTGGCCTCACGCAAGCGGCGCTCGAGTCACACGTTCAGCTGATTGAAAAGGAGACCCTCGACTATCTCCGGGACTCTCCACGGTTCAACGGCGCGAGTGGAGTTATTGATATTCCTGCTGCCATGGCTGAGATTACAATCTATACTGCTGCACGCGCGTTGCAGGGCGAGGAGGTCCGCAAGAAGCTTACTGCGGAGTTCGCTGAACTGTACCACGATCTCGACAAGGGGTTCAGCCCCATCAACTTTATGCTCCCTTGGGCTCCGTTGCCGCACAACCGGAAGCGTGATGCTGCTCATGCTCGGATGAGGGAGATTTACACAGACATCATCAATGAACGGCGCAAGAACCCAGACGAGGAGAAGTCCGACATGATCTGGAACCTGATGCACTGCACCTACAAGAACGGACAGCCGGTCCCGGACAAAGAGATTGCTCACATGATGATCACACTGTTGATGGCAGGGCAACACTCCTCTTCCTCAATTAGCTCTTGGATTATGTTGCGACTAGCCTCTGAGCCTCAAGTGCTTGAAGAGCTCTATCAAGAACAGTTGACCAGCCTCAGCAACAGGAACGGGGTCTTCGAGCCGCTGCAGTATCAGGACCTTGACAAGCTGCCACTCCTCCAAAGTGTCATCAAGGAGACTCTACGAATCCACTCGTCCATCCACTCGATCATGCGCAAGGTGAAGAACCCGCTACCAGTACCTGGCACATCTTACGTTATCCCTGAAGACCGTGTTCTACTCGCCTCACCAGGCGTAACAGCCCTTAGTGATGAATACTTCCCCAACGCAACCCGGTGGGATCCACACCGTTGGGAGAACCAACCTGACAAGGAGGAAGAAGGAGAGATGGTCGACTACGGATATGGCAGCGTGTCCAAGGGCACTGCCAGTCCCTACCTGCCTTTTGGCGCTGGCCGCCACCGCTGCATTGGAGAGAAGTTCGCCTACGTTAATCTGGGCGTCATTATCGCGACCATCGTGCGTCACCTGAAGCTATTTAATGTGGATGGCAGGAAAGGAGTGCCAGGAACCGATTACTCGACGCTCTTCTCCGGTCCCTTGAAGCCTGCTATCGTGGGCTGGGAGCGACGCATCCAAGACAACTCCAAGGGGTCCTTGAACTAAAGCCCGCTTCTCTGCAAGCTATCTTTCATCTCCAGTCTTTCCCAACTAGTACCTTGTAATAAGCATCCTGTATGATTAGAGCATCCAATCCATAGTCAAAGAAAGAGATATGACCGCTGCCCAGTCAGCACCAAGATCGAACACCCGAACCCTGAACCATGACCATAGTCCATAGTCCATAGTCCATAGTCCATAGACCAAACCGAGGATGAAAGCGAATGAAGCACGTGAGGACCCTCGTTCATTGTTCCACCACCTGTGAAACCCGCCCCCTTTCCATCCGAGGGCCAACAATGCCCACCTACCCTGACATGCGCATCAATACAGTGGCCATCCGCGTACCAGCAAAACCACGTATATGAAATACCAACCACAGGGCAAAAGAAAGAGCTGCATTGAGATAAGGCGCGCGCACATGCACACGGTGGCGCCTACAAAATCAACAAGGGGGAAAAAAAAAGGCAAGTAGAACAGCGAGGATAAGGCTAGACCTCTCCCCCATCTCGCCACAAAGCAAAGCCAGAGAGGCATTTGACCTGCTGTTCCGCGGATGAATGTACAGAATGCGACCCAGAGCCTGCTTTCGAACACTGAGGCTGAGCGCCAGCGCAAACACACACACTCACACATACAGCGCCACCTGCGGGAGAAGGGCCCGAGTATGTCAAAATAAGGATTACAACAATAATATGGGGAAGGAGGTTGAAAGGAGCGTGTGACCGAGCAAAAAAAAAAAAAAAAAAAAAGAAAAGCTGCGGGCCGAAAGTGTCAGTCAGACCCAGTGATGTATCATGGATAGTTGTTGAAGGCCTGATAATGGAACAAGATAGATTACCTAAATGGGATGAAATTGCGATCATAATGACATAAAAAAGTACATGGGGGGGGGGTGGGAGGTATTGGCGCTGATCGACAGGCCTGGACCTGGAATACGAAGCCCGGAGGAAGCATCCAGAAATGGATGAATCTGCAGTATACCTAGTATACCTCATGTAGGGGACGGAGGCTCATGACTGACAGATTTGTGAATGTGAAAGGCTGACCTCATCGTCGAAACAGGACAGCAGTAAGTAGATCTATCATCATCATCTCCATCATCTCCCAGGATTAGAATCCATTGACTGGGGCCCCGAGGACAAGGTATCCTGCTTGCTCCGGATCACGGGCGTGTGATGTGAAAAAATAATAAGGAGGGGGAGCATAAAATCGTAAAAGATCGGCGGGAAGGTCGCTAAGCAATATTAAGAAGTCACTGAATTGATGACTTGTCAGCGCGTAATCTCGGGATTCCAGGAGGAGCAAGGGAACATCCGCAATGTGATCGAATTGCCAACGCAGAGATCTGGTGACCCGGAGATCGACAGTCGCCAGGTCCTGGCCAACGGATGCTGGAGGGACGACGCTAGAGACACAGTCCTCCGGCTCTCATCACCGGCAGACATGGGGAAAAAAAAGTACCTGATCTAGTAGAGGTTTGGATTCTCGTCGCGGGGCGTACAAATGATGCTGACTGTTGCAGTGATGCCAGCCGCCATGTGACCACGTGATGGAAGTCGGTCTGGCAGTGCTGAGTGTTTTCAGGTCACCTTATTCGCACCTTCTTTTGGGCAGATGAACTGGATACGAATGCTAGGAGAGGCAATGCTCCCTCCCGTATTGTGCCGGCAGATGACGATCTTTGGGCATCGCGGGGAGAATCTGGGGAAACATCCACCTTCTCGATCTGTCAGAACCGTCTGCGAGTATCGCCAGTTGTGGAATGGAAATACTGTGCAATCTCTCGACTGTAACCATCTGACGTTGACCTTAACATGTCAGTGTGTCTATCTTTGCTTTTTCCCGGCCCCATGCTGGCATCTGGCGTCGTCTTGTGGCTTGTATGATGGGAGTGCGCATGTCCACTGATCTTCTTCACGTTGGCTTCCACCTACTGGACGTTATACTCTATGTGGACATTCACGTACCTCCCAAATAAGGCAGAACACCGACAGTTACGAGATAAGGAAGGTCAGTAGGTGGAACAGTTACCTAAAGTTCTAACCTAGTGTACCCAAGTTGTTGGAAGGGTCCTATATCAAGTCTTCGGCAGAGTTCCACCCAACAATGCCCACAGCACAGCTCCTGATAACCGGAAAATTGGCTTGCTGCTACCCTCCATGAAGAAAGGAAGTTAAACTTAATCGATCACACCGACACTTTGGATCTTCCTTTATTGGAATTTGGCCAGCGATATTTGCCCGCGGTAAAGTCAAGCGGAGATAGCAGCCAGAGATGATGCTATGATGATTCCAGACCAGGCGGTGATGATACGACTGTTGACTTGTTTTGCAAATGTACATTGGTTGCACAAAGCAGGTAAACTGAGGATTCTCCGGCTGGCATTCGCAATAGGAATATTCCCGGGGTAATGATGGACATGGGCATCCTGTTTCTCATCCACATCCTCCTAGAAAGCAAATGACAGCGAAGTGCAACGCTCCATCAGCCTCTCGAACCACTGTCAGCGACTTCATCTTCTAATTTACCCGTTTGGTAAAGAGCATAGGCCGGGCAATGCAAACGAGTCGAGTTGAATAAGCAAGCGAGTGGTACAGCACAAGTACCCCCGTATGTAAACGGGACTATTGATACCAACAAAAACCCCGTTGGAACCCGGGCAATACCGCTAAGCCTAAACCCCCGCGGAATACCCGGTCACTTGGCTCCAAATCCCACCAACATTCCGATCTTGATATGCAGGGAGACACCGACGCCATTGTACCACACCATATGGTGACATTAATTTCCCAAGCCCTATGCGATCCCTGATCCTTCAACAAAGCCACAACTCAAATTATACCGGGCGTACGTTTGTCTGTGCTACCGTGATTGAATGGTGATAAGTCTCGCCGGGAGTGGGCAGAGAAAAGCCTCACTAAGAAACGCGTCCCCAACTTCCCCGCCAAATCATCGTCGTGACTAGGGCTTGCTCCCCGCGCCTCCCCCTCACTAACTAGGCGCACAGAGCGCTGCTTGTTCTGATTCGCAGGTGGCTTTTGCGGTTTAGGACGAATCGAGTAAGTTGAGCCCGGATGAATGTAACTTGGACCCACTGACGAGGATATTCAGGAGCGTGACTTGGGACCCTAATTTGAGGGTAATACAGCTAGCTGCCAGCTACGAGCCCCCCGGCTGCATAACACGGCATTCACAATGTGTGTGTTGGGTAATGGAATATGTGCGGCAAACCAAACAAGCGGTAGGCCTACATGTACGGATCGGGGTTTGGGAACGGTTGATCTACAACTGACTGCACCCAGCAAATCAAGCAATCGCCTGACTCTCAAGACGCCGTAGCTTCAAGTGTGAACCAGCAAATTGAAGTAACGTGAGACATATCATTGGTTGTGACCTCGGGATAGCGCGTATTCGAGGTACGCCGCACCAGAAAAAGTCATTGCCATCATGTGACTCCTAGCTCTTCCGGCTAGCTCAGAAAGGGATCAGTTTCTCCGTGATTACTCCGTCCATACGACCTGGCCCTGAGCCATCAGCACCCACAATACAGTAGTTCCTGAATCCAGCAATCCATGCCTAATAGAGACTCAGTTATACCTATTCTACTAAACCATTGAATTGAAGTCCCGATGCCCGGCAACCTTCAATGGTGTTTATTGAAACGACCAAATAGGTCACCTGGTATGCGGAATTCTGTGTGCTGGAATCCCGCATCCGACGGAATCTCGCCGCGCAAAGATACACGCTAGCCTCCTCCGGCAAGGCAGATACAACTAGTGCGGATCGTCTCGACCTTCGATGGACGGTTCCATGTTGTCTCTAGCGGGGTTCTACGCATAGCATGAACTCAATCGGAGCGACGTCCTCCGGGCCCGTAACTGACGTTAAACGGCTGCTCAGTCTTAATGCTGGGAGTGGCCTCGATGCACAAACGGCCACAGATGTGTTGTGTTGCTATACTTGGAAGGTGTTGATAACATGTTATCTGCCTATCTCCATAATGACGACGAAGGTAGTGATGTGGCTTGTTTCACCCAAGGCCGAGATAGCAAGCTTTTCCTTCTCGTAAAAACAACAAGGAAAAAGCCCTTTTCCCAAGCTAACAAGTCAATTGGTATGCGCATGCATGTCAGGACGGCCACTAAGGTGATCAGGTTGGGCCAATCATCAAGTTACCCGAGGCGGTCTACACAATGTTCGGTATTCCCATGCACCCAGAATCCATATACATGGTCAGGTGAGAAGCACAATTTCAGTATCAACGAGCGGATACGAATGATCGTCCAAAAGATCCCTCTAGGCTACGACTATTCACCATCGGGCACCGATCTGGAGATCAAAATCTTCTTCCTCATAGCCCAATTATCCCCACTGTCATTGGCCTATACAGGAAAGAAAAGTCTGCTAGCCGCAACCTGAACCCATCGTCGCCTGTGTGTATACGCTAAAACAGACTAAGATATTCGATACAAGCGGATTACATACAACCCACCCCCGCCAAATACCGAAAATTACCAATACCAGCCCATCGGGCAAGTACACCGACAAATCCATCCACACAAAACGAAAGTATAATACGGCTCTAAGCCAAATGCGTACTGCCTTCCCCAAACCCCAAACCTCTTCTAGAAGCCTTCTCGAAGGCGCACCACACCAAAATCGGCATCATCGGTTGCCTTGCGACCGTAAACGTGGTTAGCGCCAAACACTCACACATGGCATGTGATTGATTTTCGCCTCCCGATGGCATTTTTTCGCCTCTGGAAACAGCTGGTAGGTGGCTGATACTAGCGGTGGTTTGAGATTCTGGGTAGTCGAATCAGGATCTCGGGATGTCTGAAGGGGGCCAGCCGGTTGTCTGGGCCGTAAGAATGGATGTATTACTCTACACAATCCTTCCGCTAGTTACTCCGTGGTTAGTTCGCTTTACACAAGTCCTTTCTTTGTAAGACAACCAGAAGACAGACTTGATCCACAATTAATACAAATCACATTCAAGTTATGAACACTCGTGCTGTTACGTACCCATCCACGCTTTGACCTGGACCTACCCACCTAGTATCAGTGGCTGGTAATCGCTGCCAACGCCGCCCAAGTATACTGTACACGTGATCAGAAGGGATCGTGAAGCATAATCATATGCATTCACAGCACCACTCTGATAAACCCAAGTATCGAATCACAGATGTCATGGCCATCAGTATGGTATTCAAGCTTTAGAATGATTAGCAGATCAATCCAATCATAGTCAGCTTTGCCTGACTTCAGGCTTCAAATCATACCTCCAACTATGCCAATACCCGAGTCAATAGTAACACTCTATCTTCGAACACGACTATGGCTAGGCAAAAAGCGCTATGGCACCTTCACGCCGAAGGTAGTAAGAGTCAGCGACACCCGACTAATCAAAGGACCATGTTTCCCCGCCGAACTAGAAGGCCTGCGATACGTCGCGCAACACACCACCATCCCCATCCCCAAAGTCCACCGCACATACCCAGCCAGCGAGGGGCGCATCTACATCGAAATGGACTACATCAAAGGCGACCCTCTCCAAGAAATATGGCGCAACCCCAACTTCACATCCACAAACAAAGAAGCAGTGATCAACGAAGTTGCTAGCTACATCAATCAACTCCGACAACTCACACCACCCCAGGAAGGCATTGTAGCTTCCGCAGAACTAGGAGAATGTTATGACATCCGAGTGGGAAGTTGGCCGTTTGGGCCGTTCAACACCATAGACGAATTTCATGAGTTCCTGCGCGGGACGATCCCCATAGAAGATACTACGAAGGTATATGGCGAAGCTGTCACGAAGTGTCATGAACGATCTGGATCATCATACTATCGGACGTGTTTCACACATGCGGATATCGCTAAGAGGAATATCATTGTTTGTGATGGGAAGGTTGCTGGGATCGTTGATTGGCAGTTTTCAGGGTGGTTTCCGGAGTATTGGGAGTATACGAAGGCGTTTTATACGCTTTATGATGTTCCGGATTGGTATGGTGGGTTGAAGAAGGTGATGAGGAGGTATGATGATGAACTAGAGGCGGAAAGGGTGCTCTGGGAAAGGTTTGATCAGCCCGGGGATCTTTCTAGGACTCGGTATTATGGTGGTAGTAGAGATAAATAGGTATGGCCCTTTCTTTATCTGTTATTTCTTATTCTTTTTGCTACGCTGGTTAATATTGTTGTAAGTTGTATAGATCTAAATGTTCATAATCTGATATCATGTGACCGCCAAGTCTAGTAAGCGGGGGCCCTCCCCCGACCGACCGGTCAACGGAGCAGACCAGTGCGGTAACTTACTTAACAGCAGAGTGACAAACAAACAAACAACCAAGCAAAATGAATACGTACCTAGCTCGGCATTTCCCCGATCAAAGGATCCATGCGCGCGCCCCAGTCAGCCTCAACGACCGTCGTCATACATACTCTACTGAGAAAAGAAACTAACTAACTGAAAAAAGAATAATAGTTAGGCTGAAACAAACAACCTTTCTCTCTCTCTCTCTCTCTCCGCTCCGACCACGTGCCGAGGCATACTACTGCAATGTAAACTAAACTATCAAGTAGCAAGAAAAGAAGACAGAAAACAGGATAACAAGTTAACTAATTCTCCGAGTCTAGACAAGTAAATATAGCCAAGTCTAGATTCACCCACCCACCCACATAATTAGTGTGCATATGTTATATGCGGTCAAAAAAGTGAACACGTACATATGATGGGGCCGTGTGAAAAACGGTGAGCCAGCGAAGAAGGTAAAAAAGACAGTGTGCGGGAAAATAGAGTTCAGAATGTTCTCGGAGAAATAGAAGAGCAAATGATATAATCAAGATAATTCGGTGTCTTAAGTTAGTTAAGTTTTTGTTTGGTATTGTTCCGAATATACCCCATTGTGTATGTATGCATGGATGTGGATGGGAAAGGAAGGAAAGGAAGTTTCGGCATGCCGAGCTGCATTGGGGAGTCGGGCCGGGTACTTAGTAGCCGGTTGCTGGTTGGGCTCGCTCGTTGGTTGGTTGTTCAGTTGGCTCGGTCGGGCACCGTTGGTTATTGGTTGTTATTATTCACGGTACGTATTATCATTTCAGGGCCTCGGTGTGTGTGTGTATCTCTTTCTACAGGGTAGGAAATGATGGAGAGAATTCTAGTTTAGTAAGCGGGTGTCGAGGGTTGATTGATTCAAGGTGATGTATGTAGTAGGAGTTACTGCTCCACTTCCAGTAGCCATCAAGGCAGTGAAACGAGCGTGAAGAAATCAAGATTATTGATGGATGGATAGTCCGTATAGCGATCGATATGAAAGAGGGAGGCTGAAGGTGAGAATTAGTAAGGATGGATAGAATACAACTATCCCGAATCAGCCCGAGTACAGCACCTGTCACTCAGATACAGTGTCACTGTATAACAGCACTCACAGTACCGGTGAAGGCTACTTTGTTCGGGGGGGAACGAATCACTTGGCTGCCCGATCTCAAATTTCGCTCCACAAGAGAAAGAAGACCCGCAATTTGAAAAACTAAACTACTTAGCAACAAGGTAAGCTGGGAATTGACACAAGGGAAAGAGTGGAGAGAAACCACCCCCTCTCAGCTGACAAAAAACCACTCGCGCGGCGTCCACCCCGACTTTCTGCAGGGGCAGTAAACTCTTTTGGGCCAAGTTCCCCCTCAGCCGCTTTGCACTGGTGGTCGGGGTTGGATCCACCGCCGTGGTCTGGGTGTTTGAGAGAACCACGGGCTGGCTTTTGCTCCACGTTTTCGGGCAGACTCGGACGTCAGAGTTTGCAAGTTTGCAGGGAACTCGAATCGTCATTGGTGCAGGTGATCGGGAGATTCAGGGAGATATTGTGGAGAATTAAGAGGAAAATCAGGAGGGAAAAGAAAAAAAAAATAATGTAATTTCTCTTCTTACTTTCCTTACAGAGTACACAGTATGCTTTTCTTCCTTCCAATGGATCCGATCCGACCCTTTTTCGGATTGTGCTTATGTTTGCTTTTTTGCGGGTTGAAATTCGGTTGGTTACCATTTGTGCGTGTTATTATACTGGTGTCTACTGCAGTGGTTACTTAGTTACCTAGCTAATTTGATGACACCTAGTTAGTCTCAGCTAAGGAATGCGACCTGTTCGACATACATGAACGGATTACAGCGGTCCGAGGGATTCTGTTGAATGCAACAATCTACGGAGTAGTTAACTCATTAGTCAGAAGAGTCCACTCCATACTACTTCAACTCCGGTTTTCCTGGGAGTACCCGCGTTACGTCATTGTGGTTGAAGCAATGAAGATGTCAGTGCGCACGAGACCAGGGCCAATGCAACTTATACCGAACTTTATACTGGGGATTAGTCCGCTATTCCCGTTGCATACCATTACACAAATGGCAGCTCTACAGTATGTCACTGTATCAATGAATGTAGACAGAAGTAGACAGATACGAGATCCTACTATAGATAGAATTTGAATTCTTCCCGCCCAGTAAATCTGCAAGGCTTACGCAGATGACCTGCTTATTTCCAACGGCACTGCGCAATAGCCTCCACGGCAGTTCATTCGCATACGGCAGTTGTTGAGCTCGAGTCTTCACGGGAGAGCGAGAGAGAGTCTAGAACAGACAGGTTGAAGAATGCTTGCGACCGTTTTCCAACTCTAACAGGGGCTGATTACGAGCTGCTGCTGCTGCACCTCATCCAGTTGAAGTTAATCTTGATACCTGACAACAATATCTTTCACCACATAATAACTTCATCAACGCCATGCCATGCCATGCCAACTATAATCATAATACCTCGGACCAATATGCCTAACCCAAAACCAAAAAGAGCACATGGACAGAACAAAATAATTAGAATTAGAAAAAACAAAGTTAACCTTCCAAGACATGTACAAAGTTCCGACAAAAACCGCAGCGTCTAACTCAATCGAACAGCTTCCATCCAACAAGTGACGCAAATTCCCGACCGGGTTTTCTTGATCTAGTCGACCCCGATATACTTTATGAACACATGTGCGCGCAGACACACACTCTCTCACATACACACTTTTCTCCCTGATCTGCATGTATCCATCCTTATTCCATCGAAAAAGCTAAATAGAACTATACTAAGATCTCGTGGACCACAACACCACCAACAGCTAATCGTAGTAGTTCGGTGAATCGAACTAGTTTAGATGATGATGTTATCTATCCAGCAACTATACTATGATGGGTTCAGACCATGATGTGAACCTGATGTGACCCTGGAGTAATAATCCCCCATCCGAACCCGGTTCAGTCGGCTTTTCTGGCTTTTTTGTCACCGTCATACCTACCCCCCCAATTCCCCTCTCCACACCCCCCTGTTTTCTCCAAGGGCGTAGCAGCAATCTGTCATCGATTGTTGTTGTTGTTGGTGGTTGGGGTATGACAAGGAGGTGGGTGGGGGAGGGGGGACGGGAACCCCGAGATGTCTCTTTTTCGCCTTCCTTACCACCAACCTTCCATCATGCTTCTTCTTATCATCGTTGAAAACTCAACTTCGTAGTTTAATATTGCGTAGATGGTTTTACAAACCATACGGAACAAATACATACATACATACATAGCTTCAAGCTTCAAGCTTCTATTTTCAGCTCCTTTTTCGCCTCCCCTCATTTCCATATTTAATATTTTTGTTTTGAGTTCTTACTTTTCCTTTGTCACTATCCTATTCCCGTCCCGTTTCCTCATGGGGGGATCTTAATATCGGGCGCATGTGAAGGGTAGGGTAGGGAAGGGAAGGGAAAGGGAAAGGGATCAGTGCGAGAGATTCTAGATCTCTGACCAGGTACGACTGGTGGTTCGAGGGTTGGGGGAGTTGGGAGTTCCCCTCACCTACTTACTAAGTACTCTTCCCTACCCTCCTATTCAATTGTTATTATTTTTTATTATTATTATTATTTTGTGCTATTATTATTTTATTGTGATTATTTTCTGCCCATGCTACGTGTCAGTGCGCCGTAGCCCAGGCCCGCCGGAGACCACCACCATGGTTTGAATGGATGGATGGATGGATGGATGGCTTCGGTGCAGAGTCGTGTCACCACACACACCACTTTCGCTATCTTCTCTATTTAGGTTTCTTCCTCATCGGTTTTACTTTACTGCTAGCTAAATCAAGGAATGTTGTATCTCATATCATATCTAAAGTGGATTTTCTATTTCGCTAAATTTCTTTTGGTTTGGGTTGGGGATGGAAAAACAACAAATAGCAATCTCACTGTAGCATACATCGGTGATAACGTGCGCAAAAGATAGGCGGCGGAAAATGTGGAAAAAAAGACCCTGGAATGGTATGGTCCGGATTTCAAGTCAAGCAACAAGTAGTGGTATCTGGTATCAAGAAGAGCTAAACTGGCTGTTCCCAAGATGCATGTTTGCAATGTTTTTCTGCCGCTTCAAAATAATCAAACGCAGGCTGTCTCACTCCCTGGCCCGATCACATCCATAATTAGAGAAAAACAATAAAACCCTCTTTTCTTTTCAGTATGTCCACCCATAAGAAGAAGTGAAAAAAAGAAAAAGAAAACAAGACAATGAAGACCGTATCCGACCATGCATCGCCAAAGAGGAAATTTCATCTGTACAAGTGAAATTAAGGATGTAATAAAAGGCGTTTGTCCCTCCCGTGGCCCATATATAATGACAGCAGACAGCCTCACAATGCAATGTTGAAAGATGGGGTAAGATGATAGTAAAAGAAGAAAAGGGAAAAAAAGCAAAACAATGACCCGAAACGCATTAGGTCGGATATAACAGCCGTATGATCCCTAGGTGCGCCAATATGCAATGCAGTCGTGATGGTACGTGTCACAAGGATGATAATCAGTCGGCGGTCTTTACATGTTTTGGAAAAGAAAAGAAACGAGAAACAAGGAGTAGCCGTTCGAGTATCGGGTATCATAGTCAACAAACATTACCGATCCAGAAGAAAGGACATGCTTTGACGCAGATAATGGAAGGATGAAGACGGAAGTCGAATCATCAGTCAAGGGCTTCACCACCCCTTCACATGATATTCCCAAGGTCCAAAGTCGGTGTAATGAGTAAAGGATCCGGTTTTGTCCTTACCCTGACTGGTAGCCTTGGTTGCAGCACCACCGGCCTGGCCGGCTGGCTGTCCCTTAGATCCCTTCGGTCCAGGGTATTCTTGTAGATTGGCCATGTCATGTGCCGTATGTCTGCGCTTCAGGAACGCGTTGGCAGTCGCACTCTTCTGTTGACGTTCCCACAACAAGTGTCGGCGGAGAGACTCGGTCAATTCAGTAGCGAGCATGTTGCGACGAGTTGTACGTGGGGAGTGGGCAACAGACTGCGGGGCGGGCTTCATGATGATGGGCTTCGAACGAGGCACGTCGGGACCACGCATCGTCAGGTTCTCATCATCGTCCTCAGGCGGCGATGCAGGGATCGAGGGACCGTTGGGGGAAGTGAGACGCGAGCGTTGGAGGGCTGGACTAGACCGGGTCGGAGCTCCCATCTTAGTTGGCTGATGCATCATCATGGTAAGAAGGGAGCGACGCGAAACAAGGTTGGGCCGGGAATCCACACGCTGGAAGAGTTCCTTCTCCTCAACACTGGATCGGCCGCTTTCCGTGATCGAATCTTCCCAGTCCGAATCCGAGTCCTCGATAGCACTCTCAGAAACCTCATCGTCCGTCTCGACGGCATCTTCGTTATCCATAGCACGTTCACGGATGGGCTTGATGATTTCATTCTGGTCCCTGAAGGAAGCCACCTTTTTCCTGAGATCCTGGCCACTAGCCGAAGGTTTGCTCAATTCATCCGAAAGAGAACTGCGATGGGGCCCTTGCATTGCCATGCGATCCTCGAAAGAGCTTTCATCGTCGTCACCCGACGAGCCTCCCAGAGTGAACATGCCGCCCTTCTTCTTGAAGGGAGTGGGCTTGAGCTGTGCTGGAGGTTTGGCCGGGCCAGGTTCGGCAGCCAATCTAGGTTGCGACCGGTATGACGAAGAGATGACAGAGGGAGAGAATCCGCGGACGATGCTTGGCGACTTGATCAATTCGGATCGGGTAAGAATGCCGGACGAAGAAACGCTAGTATCAGACCCGGCGGTATTGCCATTGTTATCGCTGTCATTGCATTCGGGCGCAGTAGTTGAGCAAGACTCAGTGGACTGATTAGGTTGTTGGCTGAGAGGGTACGGAGGCGGGGTTGGCGTCCGCCTCGCAGTAGAGACAGAAGGAGGGGTGGCGGGAGTAGGGGTCGAAGGACGTGGTGTGATATCGACGACAGGGGGCTCGACTGTCGACATGACGGTGGAGATGGGTTCAAGGTGTTTCTTCTCCTTAATGTTCAGCACCATCCGTTCCAAACCTAGAGATGTAATATGCTTTTCCTTTCCGCGAGCGAGGCTGGCCATAGAATCCTCACGCACCACCGCCGGCTTATAGTCCAAGCACTTCGGGCGTTTAATGTGATGCTCTATCCGCTCAGCCTGCTCCGACGCCGCCGATTCGACACTCGCGGAAAGTTCTGGCAAATCCCCAGCTTCGGAACGAAGAAGTGGCAAAACCGAGGTAGTGCTGGAGGTCTCCGGCTCCACACAGAAGGTCTCACGTGTCCAGAGTCGCCAGCTCAGGTTTTCTAGACGTCGGCCTTCCTCCATATAGTCGGCACATTTTGAAAAGACTAAATTCGGAGGTCAATTGTCAGCCACCAGACGCGACTGATACCCGCAACAAACTAGATGCACTTACCCATCCACATGCCATGAAGACTTTGCGCATTGGCTGTGTCGACCTTATGGATCTTGGCCGTATCCACCGTCAGAACGGGGGTTGAAAAACGCGAAGCCATTCTAACGACGCCACAATTTCGAATATGTTGAAGTTCCTCAAACGATTCTTTTCTTCCCCGTAGGAGTGTAGTTTCGGGGTCGCCGTCTCCCCCAAGCGTGGTCGTTCGGCGCGAGAAGTTGCGAAATAGACCTCTTCGATCCTCCAAGGTTACTGAGAGTAACGCCTCCAAGTTTGGGTTCTGCAGCGTGCTGCAGAAAGTCGATTGAGATTGAAAGTGGCGCCCAAGCTGCCTGTCAAGTGCAGCAGGTGTCGAGTTCAACAATTGCTGTGCGAGATGGAGGGTGGTATGGCGCAAGAGAGATCGATCCGGGGTAGGTCGATTGATCGAAGCCGGTTCCGTAAGCGGATCCTTCACACTTTCCAGTACTACCTATCCAAGAGAGGAACGACCGAAAACGAAAAACGGTCGGGGTGGGTGAAGATTGAACGAAGGTTCAGGCGTACTGGCGCGAAGTATGTAGATATGGCCGGTTCAGGGAGGTCGGGGATGGACGTGGGGATGAGGATTGAGGGTGATGGGCGAGAGGAATGAGTGAAGGAGGAAAGAAGGAAGGGAAAAAATCGAAGGGGAATATGGGGGAGGAGAACCTTAGTCTGGCTGGTGGAGCGGACGAAGAAAAGAGGAAAAGGCAAGATAGTTAACGGACGGGTCGGTGGAGAATTGGGGGGAAGAGGGAGGGAGGGTGGATGAGTGAGTGTCCGGTATGAACTGGTAACGGGTTCAGTACAAGGGGAAAAAAAGGGAAAAAGAGGCAGAAAATGGCAGAAAATGGGAATTTGACGGTGGCCACAAGAGAAAAGTCCGATGGGGGTACGTACCGAGGGAGAGGTACTGTGGTTGACCAGCGATGGGGGGGATGGCGGTAAGTACAAGGATGGGCTCCTAGCCGCGCCTCCTCCCCATCCGTGGTCCCGGATGTGTGATTAATCTTGGGATTATTTGCGTTCTTTTTTTTTTTTATTTTTCCATTTTCCGATTTTTGATTTTTCTAAAATTCAAATTTCCCCTTTCGCAATGGTACATCCGGAGTACCCCCGTGGGTCTACTGGTATTTCATACATTGTTATAACACCGGTAATATTACCATCGGTCTGTTTCCGGAGTCCCACTTTGGAACAAAGTACGAAACTGGTATTGAAGAACAATACTACTAGTCAAGTAGGAAGGCAGGTACTTCACTAAACCCAGTAGGGCCAGCTATACATCGGTGAATGCGTCCACACCCCCCCAACACTTGCAACCAGATGAAGCTTGACCCTGGATCTGGATAGATACATACTAATACCATCCAGGTATGGATAGCAGCCCCCAAAATGGATCACCTTTGAAAAAGCCTCAAAGTTTTTGTGACCTGATGCCTTGATTCACCCTGGTTCTCGCTTCATCTCGGACCGGCAGCACTATGTATGCATCACCGACAAAGCAAAACCCCTGGAGAGATAGCAATGACAACAACAGGGGGAGGGAGAAAAAAGGCCACAGGGGATCGTTCTAGACAAACATTCAAACAAAGATCAACCCGTCCTGTGACCATCGCCTCGGCTGACTAAGGACAAGGCATCTTTAACAGTTCACCAGTCAATCGATCGGGTCACTTGACTTCTCAAAAATGGGTCCCGAACGATTGGCCGAGGCGAAGTGCTGCTGATATCACTCCGCACTTGTCAATTCGCCAGGGCTGGCATACTGTAGGAATCGGGTTAATGATCACTACTATTGAAGACCTAACGATGATAGCCACTTCCATCATTGTACCCAGCATCCAGATCAATTTCCATCATCACTGTCAATCTAGGCACCGTGCCTAATCCCTCGCCTCGTCAGGGGCATTTGACACTTCACCCACCACCCACCGCTGGGCTATTATTGTTATGTCCTGCTGACTAGTGACTTATTGCTCGATTCAGTTCAACTGCTTTCGTCACGGACATGCTTAGTTTCGGGCAGATTCTTGATATCCAAATGTGACTAAGGAAACCATGGGTTTTACCGTCTACATTCTGGGCACCTCCCCAAGCCACGTTCCTGTTACCCGGTCTCTTGGACATCAACATCTTACACACAGACTACCCGACCTAGTTCTGAAACCGGGCATTCCGGCACTTGACCTCATCCCCAACTTATCGACCCTGATCCCCTTTTAGGCTCAAGTGTGTCTGATCGAAACTCTGACTTCCTACATCCATATGATATGTCGACGTGGATGGTTCAATCATCCCGGCTGAAATGGCCTGAGCACTGATCTTCCTTACTGTTTGTTCTTATTAGCCGGTGGTGGTATGTACCTTCGCAAAATGCCCCAGGCGGAGTCGCATACCGGGGAAAGAGCGCAGCGTTTCCGATCTGGATGATCATCTCACACCTACATAGTTCTCCTTCCTCTTATCAGTTCATTGCGCCCTTTGAAGTCTGCAGCAGTTATGTATGTATGTACCCTGAATCGCAAGTCTTCAATGCCCTTTTACCCTCCAAGCCACGATACCCCAAAGCACTTTTGATTTGAGATTTAAAGTACACATGTCCAATGACTATGTATCCCTTCCGAATACCGGTCTCAGGAGACTGGTATACCTAATCTGAGTGACCCAACAACAGAGTATTCGTGTTCGCTCATTCCTCACCCCGTCCATAGTCACAAGGCGAAAATCCTGCCAGCTGTCACTAAAGTACTTGTGATGCTATCTTTGCGAGAACGGTAGGTAGGTAGTAGTATATCCCCAAACAACATAATGTAAATAAAAAAAATAATGGGGGGCAATACTACATACAGCACGTATGATACAATCGTTCACAAGGAGTAGTAGTTAGATACCTGGATTGATTACCCGCCTGTTCGGTTTAGCCCTTTCCTTCCCACCCTACTACCACCCCCCCCTTTTTTTTTCCTGTCACGGGGCCTTGCAAAAACTTCCCAAACGCCCCGTTGCGAATAATAATAATATCAATAATAGACTAAAACGCCACACTTGATCCTTCATCGCGGATCCCCGGGTGAGTGGTTCGGGGAACTAGGATTCAGAAGATCCGCCCGATTCACCATCACCACTGCCCTTTTGGAAACTGACAGCCAGTGCCAGCCAGTTCCCAAGCCGTCAGCCCACGTTTTACAATCATGTGATGTTCCACGTCAAAGGTCCAGGTTCACTCCCCCGAACACCTGATGGATGAGTTGTAAACTGAAAAACAAAAAGTTGTTGTTTCATCTTCGGAGTAAAAGCCGTCATCTGCTTGTACAGTAGTTAGTTGCTTCACTAAGGCGGGCTTCCCGTTGGTGTAGATTGTTTTTCCATCTTCATCCAAACCATCTCCAAATTTTCTCCGATGTATGAAATACGGGATGCTCAAAAGGTATTATCAGAAAATGAAAATAGAAAATGCAAAAGAAAAAGTTCAAGGGGCTGGATGTGGAGGGGTCGTGACCTCGTCGGCTTATTGGGGCCCAAAGGGAGTTTCCAAGCCTCACAAGGCCCTGTCGAGTTAGTACTGAGTAGTAGCGGCGACGTTGAACGATCTGCAAGGCGGTTCACATTGTGGTCACTTGCTGGTTAAAGTCGATCGCATTGCCGGATAGTTAACGTCTTACCACGGAATGCCCCGTAGCATGGGGAAGGTACTACTCTATACACACTCATACACACTCTCCTATGTTAGGGAGGAGAACTTAATATCGGAGGACGGATGGCCCAGGTAAACCCCGCAATGATATAAACTCTTAACAAGACTAGACAGGCGCTATTAATTAGACAGTGATAGTCAAGTACTAAGTCAAGATCGGCATTTGCGAACGTAAGTAAGTAGATAGTAAGTAAAGCTCCATAGCTAATAATTGAGCCCACACCCGTCTTTCTTGCATATTCAATGCAGACAATAACCAAGAGCAGCATTATCTCCTAGGCACCAAAGCTCTGTTGGCAGGTGGAAATCAGGGAAACCCGTCAACATGGTGAGCTTATTCGCTTCGCTTGCAGCTGGGGGGCGGACACCTCCGCTTTCAATGATCCAAGTGCTCAGCTGCCATCTTTCATGCATGGAATCGTTCCACAGCGATGCTTCTAGAGGGAGCCACGTAGCTGCGCCCTAGCCCACTCGACCACACTCCGATTCATCAGGCGTACCTCTTGCAGGTGTGTGCCATGAAGAATAGAGGGAATTCCATGGATGACGCCCTTTTTCCAGAATTCTACGGAGCTACATTCTATCTGGGTACATTGCCTGGTTAAGCTTATGGGAAGTCCCAGTCATTCCCTAACAATGGGATGGGAAATGCTCCATACTCTCCGTGTTGTTGAGCCTACCCAGGTAAACTCTCCGGATGATGATGACGATGCTGAAGGAGAGGTGAGACTATACCGTGGTTGGAACCCGCTATCTCATGATTCCCCATGTAGGAAGGGCTTCACAAATTCTCGGGGCATCAACCAACTGTTCATTGACAATTGGTTGTCATTGTTCGAGATGACCTCGATTGTTCGGGAGAATCCGTCAACCGATGAGGGCATCCGAGGGACTCCCGCGGTACACCAGTGGAAGGCAAGAAAAAGCAATCCACACTTGATCGAGGGAGCTGACGTCCATGCCGACAGAAAGTTGCCGAGGACCATTGACAACATCAGGACGCCTACCTTGCTGGTAGAACAGGCAGAGGCGACTATTGCTCCGTGGCGTAGAAGCGAGTCGATGCAGATGCCACCTGCCAGAGTGCCAGTGTACAAAATACAGCTAGTTAGCTAGCTAGCTACAATAGTGACAGAGGACTGACTACTCCGTACTGACTGATGTTACCTCATCTCCCGCCCGCCCCCTTTAACGTGGGGGCAAAACCAAACAAACCCGCAGTGGCAAAGGCCCACCCCCGAGTCACAAGACAGCTCCTCCGTCACATGATGTGGGGTCGTCCCGCGGCATTAATGCGCCACTGGTCGCGGCTGAAGGGGATTCCATGTCTATCTATCTCTCTCTACCATATCATGCTCAATCGAGGTTGATACACCGAGTTGACTCGTTTACAATCACACACAGAGCTGAACTGTATAGAAACAGTATCGCCCATACGGCCTTTACTCGGCTCCGCCATTGTCGACTGCTCTCCTGACCTGCGAAAGTGCCGACACTATGATCGATTGCTGACTAGAAGCCAACGGGGATGGAAGGACGCTACTGGACGCAGCTGCATCACGTCAAACAGCGGCTTAGAAGCACCGGATAAGGCACCATGCATCAAGTGCAGCCTGCAGACAAAGAATGATAAACAGCAGGTGCCGCCGGTGTCTTACGGAGTACTCCCGCCCGACCTTAGTCACTACTAGAGATATCCGACAGGACGCGCAGGCTGGGAACAACAACAGGGACGGTGATGCTGTTGTGTGCACACAACGCCCGTTGCCTATTTCCTCTATAGGTAGTCTGCCATTCCTCCTTTGGGACTGGTCGAAGTAGGGCGTCAGCCAGGAACACAGTGGTCTCAACTTTACTGAGTACGGCTCTGTAGATCATAGAACCGTCTGGATCTTGCACGACATGATCTACGGTATGTTGCTGTGGCTGGTGCCATACACTCAGGCATTCACCTGGAGTAGGAGTGGATTGGTTATCGACGTTTTTCATCCCATGAATAAAGCTTACGACTTTTGGGAACTTCTTACGATCGCCAAAATTTCCGAGAATGTTGTTGATACCATTCATAATCCCAGGGGTCACAAACTCATCTGTAAACCGTTTCACCAGGGCGGATATTGCCTCATACTGGGATGAAATTGCCTCCTGAACCCTAGCCTTATTTTGAGATGATCTCCAAAACTTTCTCCGGCCCTTGAATTCTTTATGCATAGCTTAAAGCTTGGATTGCGCACGGATATCGACTCCCGGGATATGCATTTGGAAGGGATAACGACCCGGGCACACAGGGCAGCCGGGTACCACCAGTCACTAAGCCGGCCAGCACTAATGTATGGGTTGCTACGGAGCACAAAGCCCAATCCAATATACACATACGGTCTCTTTTTTCTTCAATTCCTCCCTCTTTCTCACTGTCTTTCACTGCTATTTCCTGCCTTCCCGTCAAATGCCATACGATGGGGAACCGACGTGGTACGTAGCATCGCCGTTTCTCCTGAACAAGTCACATTCCATAATTCCCGGGCCGCATCCCCCGGACCAGCCAAAACCCACGAACGATTCTTGTCATGTAACCCAGGAAAGGGCCAATCTACCAGGAACTGGTTAGCAAAATAGACCGGTTCAGAATCGGACCTTTGTTCGAGAACCCAGCCTAGCGGCTACCAGATCATGCAAATTCGCAGTTCTCGCTCGCTTTGACCTCCAGGGGAATGGTGGGTTCTCCACGTAAATGCAAGGGTTATAGCGCGGATCGCATTTCAAGGATCTGAGGAACAGGAAAGGAAAAAACAAATCAAGCCCACCCACAGACACACATTTCATTGATTGACTGAGTAAGTGCTCCGGGAAGCCTATTGCGGTAAATCTGAAATTTGCCCTTTCTTTCTTTCTTTTTTTTCTCTTCCTTACTCCGTACCCTTCCCCTTCCCCCCCGAATCCTCAACACGCGATAAAACCAATATAAAACATAGCTTCAAACTCTCCCGACTGAAGAATGAACAGTAACAACAGTAGTAGTCCTATTGGGCTGGAACACGGGGCCGGGACCTGGACTTGGACCTCCTTTCCTTTTACTATTTCCATCCACCAGCCATCCATCGAAAAATTCCTCCCTTCTATCTCTCTCCTACCTAGCCACGTAAGCTATCCATCTATCCCTCATCTATCTGTCTTGAGAGCTCTTCCCCAATACTGCAAGGAAACCAACTGTGTATTCACCTACCTACCTACCTACCTACTTGCCACCTCCTCTTCCATTCTCTCAAATCTGCAGCAATGAAAGGGCACGTTCACGGAATTACCCCGGATTGATCAACCTCCCCCCACCGAGGCGAAAACGAGGAACACAGTGTAACTGAGTGTGTGTGTGTGTGTGTGTGTGTGCTACAACAGACAATACAGCTCAATACCTGAGTAGCTTACTATGTGCGATATTTAGGCATGATCCATGCATACATATGTTTGCCTTGGATTGATAGCAGATGATAACTGTACCTACGTCCTTATCTATATTTACTACTACTAGTACAGTACTCTGTACATAAATCACGCAAATTCCTTTTGATTGACCGTAAGTAAGTAAGTAGAATTAGCCAGCGGGTTGCCTCTTTGGGTATGCCTTGTCTTGCTGAGGAATAATAGCTAGTTAGTTGGTTATTAAGTGGTAGTGGTAGTGGTAGTGGTAGTGGTAGTGGTTTACTCCTTGATTCAGGGACGGACGTAATTCAAGTATGTATGTTTCGAAAGACAATAAATACTAATAGTAGATCATTAGTTATGTAAGTATGTATGTATGGACTTACATATTTTTCGATAATGTATTACTACTGATACTATAGGTAGATATACCCGCGCTTTTTAAAATCTATCGCTATACAAATAACTAACTACAGGATGGCTTTAGATCGTCAAGTAGGACAGTAAGTATTGTATTAGGGAAGGATGCTATGCTATCTCCGAAGAAGAAGTAGAACCAGGATGAGGCAATAAACCGAGCAGTAGAACAATCGTCATCGCATCTGCATGTCCCGGTATTTGGGTCAACAGGCATGTTCACAGATACCTTGTCCGGTTGGGATCGACCCCCGCCCACCGCCGATTTGGACGTAAAACAACAACAACAACCAAATACTTACGGTAAGTGGCAGTGTGTTGCACCACCACACACCCACACCCCCCACCACTCATGTAAGTACCCATCTAGGTACATATGTACATAACATACATGAACAGGTGTAGGGTCTAGAGTACTATCATGCAGAACTGTAAGTACGGAGTCCGTTGAGAAATCATCAGTTGCATGTGCAGTAAGTGACTAACTACTAGTTGACTAGTTGAGATTAGTTTTTCCGTTGCGCAACGTTGGCAGAATCCCGAGACCTGGTTCTAGGAAAAACAAATGAGGGGGAAAGGACGAAAAAGAAAAAAAGCAAATGGGGGTATTATAATTAGTAAGTGATTCCTTAATCGGGGTTGATGAGTGTGTGAGAGAGAGAGAGAAAATTCCTCGTGTCAGATGACAGGGCTGTATACTTCTTCCTTGCCTGATTTAGGGCGCTTTTGTTACACGTTGGCTGATACCGCCGTTGATGTGGGTTAATAGCTATCATAGTAACTGGTCCGGTCGCTGCAGGGTACAGGTGGGAGTCATCATTACGCATGGGCGTGTGTTGAATTGCTATGGTCGATCTATTATTCTAGGCCCTGTGGATGTGAGACTCGTCTGTTGTTTGTTGGAAGTATGACACTGTCTATATGCCGTGTCGTTCTGCTATAGATAGCTGTTGTTCGTGGATGATGAATGCGGCCAGTTGGCGGGCTGGGCCCATGGGGTTCAATAACTGGATCAGGGGTTTCCGGGGTTAGCAGTCCTTCCCCGCAATAGGCTGAAAGTTCGGATTGGGAACATCTAGTAGACTTGTCACATTGCTATATGGGCGTGCTCTCATAACCGTCATCATCTGCCGATTGGGTATGGTCGGATAGCACACTCATAACAGAGAGTTCATGGGGCGACCAAGTAAGTGTTGGTTAATAGCTGGAACCTTTCATGGCGATAAGCTGAAACAAAGACAAACTCGAGTTAGTGTAGCACGAAGAAGACATTGGTTCAAGTTTAGGCAGATCAGGCACCGATTCCGGCTGTCGCATGACCTTGCGATATAAGGTATCCCCGAAAGAGTCGGTAGAGTTAGGTTGACAGCCGCCATGTCCCATCCATGTGACTTGCACCTCGGATATGTTTCTCAGCTAATCGGCAGTTGCTGTGGGCTTCGTTTCATGTCAAAGGGGGTTGCAAAGGCTATTGGCTTAGATCTAAGTGCTATCTAACTAGAGCGAGAGAAATTAGTCCGGGTTGGCTATCTCTATTGGTCCGGTATATAAGGTGTCGAGGGTGAACGGGCTAATCGGATCGCATAGCCAGGGTTGAGAGGTGTATATCTGGCGATGCCGATGTGCCAATCAAAAAGGCCCCAGATGGTCTGGATCGGAGTTTGATGGTATAAATCGATATCCTCGTGAATGTTTAGATGTATGTCTTCACATGGCTGGTACCTGACTTGATGTAGTACTTTTGTGAGGTACCAAGGAATAGAGTGCATGGAAAAAGACAGAAAAACAGACCGACGGAAATTGTGTGAAATACTGTAAATACTCCAATTACGAGTTTCAACATAGTACAGTAAGGCTACAGAGAGACCAAAGAAAGAAAGGCACATACCAGAGGTGAGCATCATCAGATGCTAGGATCACCTCCTGCAGTCGTGTGATGCTAAAATCGCCCAAGTCCGAAGTAGCGGTATAGAAATAATGGGCGCCCAAGATATCGCTGTTAATATTGAAGCAGCGACAGGTGATTGCTTGACAGTGTTGTTGTAAGGCATTCTCCTTGCAAACACGCCACGGCTTCTCGTTTGACGCCCTGATCGTCAGTTGCTGTCATGAGAAAAGGGGGAAGGATTATGCTCGGGTCCCACGAGACAGAATCATGGTGGACTTTGGCGCGAACGGAGGCCGGCCACGTCGATGCTCGCAGCCATGTGATGGCGGGTGGTAACCGCTGCGCATTGTCTCCTGGCGCTGCGTGGACTTTCTTTTTTCGGGACGTCGCCGCTTTAACCGAGGCCGGTTATTCATTCCTCTACACAATCGTGCATCTTTGACTTCGCTTCAGGGCTGTGCGCTTCCATCGGACATATCCTTGTCCGGGATCAGCATCATTCTAAGGAGGTACTGTCTAGATACTTAGCAGTTCTCTGGTCACCTGCTGGGTAATCACCGAGGCTGTAACCATACACAAGCTACTAAGACAGTGTTCTGTTCATAGCACAAAGACGTCCTACGCTAGCCTTATTGCAGCTGATTCCAGATATGTTTGTTTCCCTTCGAGATGCCGTACCGCCAGAATACTCTCTTGTATGCACCATATCACATGATAAACAGCGGTGACAGATCGTAGATCGAAGTACCTTCCGAATGGGATCTTAGCCTTCCTACCTAGCTCTCGATATGCAAGATGCCACCCTGGCCGCGATCGAATAGAATTTCCATATCAAGTCCATGGAAGCCTGCAGTACCTGCAAAGTGAACTCATAATCTGCAAACGGCCCATGTCTGAGCAATGGTTCGGAAGGAAAGGTGAGTCAACAGCAGCCATGGATCATCCTCTAGAAGCGACATTATACTGACACTAACGATACTGATGCTGATTCAGTGAAGCCATGACTAGAAGTCATTGAGACAATAACCTCCGGACAGGATCAAATGCTTCTGCATCTTCCTCTGGCCAGCCATAGGCGCAAGGGTGCTCCTTGCTCTAACATACAGCCTCTTCAAAATGATCGGATGAGGCGGCTTGAGGCACCAGACGAGTGTAACCCCATCAACATCCCATATACTTCTATCGAAAGGCAATTGGAAGTTTCGGCGCTTCCGTTCCCGCACACCGAATAGTATTGATGACTGAAAGTCATGGGACATCTGACAGAAATTCATATTCATTGATCGGGACTCTTTATCGAAGGATGATTACTAAAGACTGGCTTTGATGATTGGGATTCGAGAATCCCTTGCGGATACGCTCGACCTTTCTCATACAAAGCATGCCGGTCTACCAAGGCTTGGACGACCAAATCATACGAGATGCGTTACCTGCAGATGCAAGCCGCGGTTGCACATCGGTTCGTACGGTTTATTGCCCAGCCAAGTCC